GCCTTCTGATTCTCGTCCAGCCGGTGGGAAGCTGGGGACAGCAGCCTATGCCGGAGAGCTACAGGGGAGGTTGTATTCACGTCCCCTGGATTCTCCCAGCACTTCCGGAGGACAGAAGTACCATCACGTTCATTTCACAGCCGGGGAAGCTGAGGTCCAGAGAGAGGAAGCCACTCGCGCCCAGGCCGTCCCACCAGGAAGTGGCCCAGAGGGTCTGAAGCACACAGGGGGCTCGGAGGCCGGCCTCACGGCCCCACTGTGCACCCCAAAGCTCGGTCTGGAAACAACTGCTCCTCCTCGGCGTTGGAAAAGCAGCCTCCACTCTAACAAAGATGGGAAACTCTTGCTGCCCGAGGCCCACGCCAGCCACGGGGCAGGAATGTGGGGAGCCTGCGTGCAGGGGTGAGCCCCGAGCGGCAGCATGAAAGCAAAGAAGACTGTAGGGTTCCCGCGTCCGGAACCTCAACAGTTCCGCCAGAGCCGGGGTCAAGTTCAACCTCGGGGCATGGCCGGGATTCTGGTGTGTGGCCTTCTCGGCAGTGACCCACGGACATAAATAATGTCCAGCAGGCTTTGAGGCCAGACTTGAAAAATACGGATGGGTTTCAGTTGTAAGCAAGCGTGCTCTCCTCCTTCTAATGGGGAGCCCGGCAGCTGACCCCACGGCTGTCGGACAGAAGGAGGGACGGAAGTAGAGACGCTCCTCTCCCTTCCTGCCACTTCCGGTCATGCTGTCCTGGGGTCTCTGACACGGGACCCCTCTTAGACTCTCATGCGTGAGATGGACATTCAGGGCCAGCCCCTGGATGGAGGCACCAAAGCCTGTCTTGACACCTCAAGGTCTCTCTTCGGGGAGTGTGGGAAGCAGTTTTCAAACTGGGTTCCTCTGAGCCCACAGTGCCTGGGGAGGGGAGCAGGGAGGGAGGATGGAGGACCCACGGGCATAGGCTCATCCTCTGTCTGTCCTGTACACTGGGGTTATGAGTGAGAGTGGGTCTCCCTGGCTCTGTGGGCTCTTGGCCTAGTCTCCATGTGGGGCTACCTCTGGGGTACCAAACAGCGGATCAAGGCTTGCGTGGACACTGGTGGGCCCATCTCTGCAGGTGCCTCTGCTGGCTCGTGGGAGAAGAGACCTGCACCTTTCTCACCCCTCCAAGGATGGTCTGGGCTCAGCAGCCACCACACACCCTGCCAGCCGGTTAGGAACACAGCTCAGGCCCAGCCCAGGCCCGCTGAGTCAGAGCCTGCACTTGGACAGGACCCCTGTGGGTTACGGGACACATCCGGGCCCCGCAGCAGGACAGCCGGCCCGAGGCTGGACCCCACCCTCCAGACCACCTGTGCTGATGTGCCCCAACCACGAGTTACCACCTGGACCCCTATGGGCGCCTCCAGGGGCCCCTGCGTGAGCCACCCCACTCCTGAGGGAACCAGCCACTCTGGGGGACTCTCAGCTGCTGTGGTGGGGTGAAGGGGGTTCCCCAAAAGAGACATCCGTGTCCTAACCCCAGAACCTCAGAACGAGACCTTATTTGGACACGGGACTTGGCAGGTGTAACCAAATTAAGACAAGGTCACATGGTAGAAGGGCAGGCCCTAAGTCCAATGTCTGGCGTCCTTGCAGGAAGAAGGGAGATGCAGAAGGACATACAGAAGGCGGCCGCATAGGGACAGAGGCAGAGCGTGGAGGGGCGCCTGGAGCCCCCCAGAAGCTGAGAGAAGCTGGAAGGATCCAGCCTGGAAACCTTGAGAGGGAGCCCAGCCCCGCTGAGATCTGGAATTGGGACTTCAGGTCTCCAGACCTATGCGAGACCCCATCTGGGTTGCTTTAAGCCCTCGGCTGGTGGTCTCTAGTTATGGCTGCCCCGGGGTACTACCCGTTCCATGTCTCCCTGTGCCCTCAGACTGGAAGGTCTTCCACGGGTCATCACAGGACGTCTTCACCACAGCAAACCTCTGGACCCAGGACAGAGGCCAGCACACAGATGCCCCGTCTGCGTGGGGCTGGCGGCCAACTGTGTCCAGGAGCCACGCAGCCTCGTGCACCCACTGGCCTCTCAAGGAGCGAAGGCGGGTCATCTCTGTGCCCTGGTGGCCTGCGGGCAGCTGCCCATGGTCGCAGAAGGCTGGGCCAGCAGAGTTCAAGAGGGCCCCCCCTCGGCCCAGGAAGTCTTACGGTTTATTTGCCAACTCCCCATAAGGCTCCCTCTCCCTCCTTCTTTGCTCCTGCCTCCCCATCCTGCTTTTGAAACAGGATTTCTCTATCAGGAGCGAGCTTGGCTCCCAGGGACAGCTGGCAATATCTGGGAGCATTTTTGGTTATCCCACCCCTGGGGACGCTTCTGGGAAGGGCTGCTCTGGACTTTCCAACAGCAATGGCACCGGGGAGAAGCAGCCCCTTTAAAGGCCGATTCTTTGCCTCACCCAGCGTTGGCGTATCTGATGGAAGGCACGGATTTTTCTCCCCATGAATGTGCACATAAGCCCCGATCCCGCTGCAAACCAGGTAAGACTACACAACTGGATTCTCCTGGGGGCTCTCCTGGGGGCTCTCCTATTTCCTGAACTGCAAGCCCTTCGCTCCTTGTAACCACAGCACACCCCCGGGAATGACTCACTAGCCAGGGCGTCTCTCCCCAGAATAAAGGAGACGGCCACGAGCTGTTCATCGCACTGGCAGCGGTCCACGCACAGACCTCGGAGGCCGCCTCTGACCCGGGTTCTGGTCCTGCCTGCCTCTCGGAGGGTGGGGGAGAGCACCGGGCTGCCGCAGACGGAGGGTTTTTCCAACAGCCTTGGGCCTTGTTCGTGTCCCAGGAAAGGTCAGGAAGCACAGGGGCCCTCGTAAAGCCCCGTTCCTGACGCAAGAGCCTCCGGTGGGCACGGCCCAGCCCTGGCTTCAGCCACCTTGGACACTGCAGTGGTGCCGTGTACATCTTTCATTTTTAAAATGGCCCCAGTCAGCCGTGGGAAAGCCTCCTGTAGCTACAGAGCCAAACCATCAGTGAAATTCGTGGGTCACTTATGGGGAAAAGGGGGTCTTCTTTGGTGACAGTGACCACTGTCTCTATGTTGGCTTTTTATTTCAAAGTCACGATTGAGAAGATCGAGTTTCAAGAAGGATACGTGGGATGTCCCAGTCGGCTGGACTTGGAAAGGCCCCTTTCTCTCACCCTCCGCAGGAACCATGATTCTCGGTGTGGTATTAACAACAGCCCAGGAGACTCGGCCACGTCAAGCGCCTTGCCCTTGACTCAGGATCACCCACTGGCATCACACTACTGCTATCTCCGTGCTGTGGCACGGGAAGCTCGGGCCGAGCAGCCAGTGAGCCTCGGGAAGGACAGGCAGAGGCTCTGGGATCTGTCGGGGCCAGTGTTCCCTCCCAGACTCCCGGGAGCCTTCCGAGTACAAGGCTCTGAAGCCGTCGTGGGGAAGAAACGAGGGAGCGGAGAGTGCGTCGCTCACGGAACGGACCGGGCAGGTGCAGACCGGGCAGGTGCAGACCGCAGCCCCAGCTCCCAGCTCTGCACGCAGGCGCCGCGGGCTCTCCCGACTCCAACGGAGCCCGTCTGTCCCTCCAGCTGTGAATGGCCACATCAGGGCGAGGTCTACATAGTGGCCACAGCATTTACATGAGAAGCCGGGGGGCTGGCAGGGACAGGGAACCAGAACCATGCCCTAAGTCAGCGACCCGACTGCTCCCCTCTCCCGAGGGGCCCGGGCTCTGGTCACGGAAAACCCGAAAGGCCCAGCGCATCTGCAGTCGAGGTGGCTGCCCCGCCCGGGAGAGACCCCAGAGCCGCAGCAGGACTCGACGCTTGCACACCCTCGCCACTCCGACGGCGACCCCTCCTGCGGCAGAAGTGCACACCTGCCAGACAGCCGAACCCTGGCAGGAGACAGCCACCCAGAGAAACACTGTGTGTGCAACAGAACACGAGGCCCCCTGGCCGCCAGGTCTGCGGAGAGAGGGGCCCCACGGAGCAGGTCCGGGGTACTCAGGGCCGACACTAACGACGTGGCGCAGAAGGGAGCTCACACCTGCTCCTCTGCGGACCAGCTGGCCGGCCCAAGCACCCCGGGGCATCCTTACCACCGGACCCAAAGTGTTCATTACTTAAGGGCACCGTGGTTCTCAAGGATGAAACGGCGAACAGGCCAATGCTTCCTTTAAACACCCCCGCCGGCTCACGGCTCCCCCAGGCAGCCCACTGACCCTGTATCCGCAGTTTAGAGACTCCCGGATTCTCGGTTAGTCCACACAGGGACCCTGTGGCGGGCTGCGGGTGAGCCCTGCAATGCTCACGGGAGGAAGCCCCGCCCCCCGCCCTGTGCCCAGAGAGGTTAAGGAGCAGGCAGGGGTGCACACAGCGAGCGTGCTGAGAGGCTGAGAGAAGCACCCCCGTCCCATGGGCTATCCAGGCCCCCGCCTGCCACCTGGGCCGCCCTGTGTGCCGGTGAGTCAGCCCTTTACTCTCCCCAGAAAACTTTCCTTCAAAAGATTCTCAGGCTTTGCCAGGGACAGCTGCTCCGGGAAACAGTGAGGGTCAGGGATTTCCGAGCACCAGAGCCCCCCCAGGGATCGAGCCAGACCCACCTCCCCACTTGACAGATTGAGAAACTGAGGCCCCAAGAAGAGCCAAGGTCAGCACCAGGAGGGCTCCAAGGAGAGCTCGGTCCTTGGCCCCTCTGGAGGGGCGCGTCTTCCCAGGAGAGGGACTGACCGGAGCAGGAAGTGCCGTGACTCTGGAGGTCATCGCCAAGAAGACCTTACCCCTCCCCCAGAGCAGATGTCATCAGGGTTGGGGGCGCTACTTTGGGGCTCCCCAAACCCCAAAACTTAACACGCGATTGCTCCCGCAATCTCAACAGAAGCGGCCTTCACACCCGCCGTCCTGGGAGCCCGGGCTAGAGCCAGAAGGGCCCCTCCCCACACCACCTTCTGGAAACGGGCGGCGCGCCCAGCCCACGAGCCCTCAAGATGCAGGGATAGTTACGTCCTCGTCTCGCTCCAACTCCAGGCCGGCCTCCAGGAGGTTCCCCTCGTACTCCTCCCTGCGGAATCGCTTGTCGTCCTCGTGGTAGTCCATCGGGGGCTCGGGGCCCCCTGCCGCCCCCACGCTCCCCTTGCCGGGCAGGGGCTGGTCCTGGCGGGCGCCGCGGGCGGCCGGGGTGACATCGCCGTGCTGCACCCTCCTGGCCAGGGTCCTGCCGCCCGAGGGCCTCTTGGGATGGTACACCAGGACGTAGTCCACCTTGCGCCTGCCGTCCCGGAAGTAGAGGCCGTGTTTGCACTCGGCGTCGGGGTCCACAGAAAGCGAGTTCAGTAGCTGCCGTGGGAAAGAGAGATCGCTGGCCGTCAGGCTGGGCTCGCGGGGGGAGCAGGGACCAAGCCGGACGGCCTCCTCCACCCGCCCGCCCGCCTTCAGCAGAGCTGCGCTGCACGCCCGTCCCACGCGAGCGCCGTCTGCAGCTGGGGCAGCCACGCACACGGTGGCCCTGTCTTCGTGGGGGTGACACCTGAGAAGGAGACATGCACATAATCACACAGGTAGGCCAAGCCGGGCCCTCAGAGCTCGGACGGGCCCCCGGTTCTGTGGAGCCGGAGCAGGCTTCCCGGGAGGGGCCAAGCTGCTCGCAGAGACAGTGGGAAAGGCTGCCAGGCCACTCCCCCCCACACCTACCCCCGCCCCCCCACCAGAAGTGCTCCTTATTCTCTCCCGCAGGGTCTGGGGCAGCGCGGGCCGAGCCCACGGTCTGCACCAGCGACTCCCAGCCTTTGAGGGCCAGCGTGCAGTGTGCAGGGCAAGGTCATGTCGAAATGGCCACGGCCCACGACGGCCCTCACCTGGCCTGGTTCCAGCTCGGCCACTAGCTAGCTGCCTGTTAGCTTGGGTTCCCCCCAAAGCAGTCCCCGAGTTGAGCGTCTGGGTTCAGCGGTTTACCTGAGAGGTGGTCTCAGGGGCCGGATTGGGGGGCGGACAAGCACAAGGGAGGGGCTGACAAAGGGTCACTGCCTTGGACAGCTGGGCTCCCAGGTGCTGGTGCCAGAGGGTGAGGAAGCTGGGTAAGGCTAACCACCCACACCTGGATGTGAGCTCCCTGTCCTGGGCGTGGCTTCCACCTGCTCCTGCGCCAGAGGGTGCCCTGGGGGTGGGCGCGGAGAGGTGGGGTGGGGCCTGGTCTCCTTATCTGCCTGGGGGCTTCTGGCGGGGGCAGTGAGATAGAAATGTGGGCCTGCGAATTAAAATTTGGGACCCCTGCGCGGCTGTTGCTAACGCTAAACCTGTTGCTGGAACTCCTGTGGGATTTTGCTGGTTACCGAGGGCGGAGGTTAGTCGGCGAGCTGGTCTGCGGCAGTAAGAGAAACAAGTAACATCGTGCGGGAAGTATTCCAACGAGCAACCCCGCACCAGGGACAGTCCTCAGAGCCGAGCCTCACCCGTCCTGCCCCTGATCTCCTGGCTTCCACCCCACTCCCGCTAACAGCCCGAGACACGCGCGGTCGCCTGAGAACGAGGCCCTCCCACACGGAGCGTGAGGCTGGCCTGTGGCTAAAGGCAGGCCCTGAGCCCCACGGCTGGAGGACAGAGCTGTGCCTGGAGGGTCTCCCCACAAGGTCGCCTGGAGCCCTGGAATGGCTGCACCCACTGTGGGGGGCTCCTAAGGGCTGTAGCGACGGTTGGGAGAAGCAGCAAGAGTTCCCTACTCCAGGGCCAGGACGCCCGGAGGGTGGCGGACCCCATGGGGGCAGGTGTCTTTCCCAATGCCCAGCTCAGGGGCAGGGGAAGAGAGGAGAGGGAAAGAGGCAAAGTGGGGGGGGGGGTGAGTGCGCCTAGAATATGGCAGCTGCCCAGGGAAGGAGGGAGACGGGCTTCTGGGCTGGGCCTTTTGTAGGGTCTGGATTCCTTCACCCCTGGCAGGGGAGGGAGAGTCACGCTCCTGAATCTCAGGGTCCCTGGTCGGTCCCAGGACGCGCACAGCCTGACAGGTCCCCGGAGCCGGCAGGCGGCTGGATGTATGCCGTCCACGCTCACCCATGGTACCACGGGATCCAGCGCCGCTTCGGCCGCCTTCACGGGACCCCACGGTGTAGACACCCCACTAGCCGGCTCTTACAGGTGTCTGTCCAGAGCCTCCGGGTGTAGAAGGGCAGGCAGGGTAGGGGAGAGGGGAAAGGAAGGCCCAGCCTAGCCCAGGAGAGCGTCTACAGAATACCCCAGCGTCTTTTCCAGGATCCTGTTGCAGGAAAGGCAGGAAAGAGGGGTTCTCCTCTGTTTGTCAGCGAGGACACGGAGGGTCGGTGAGGGGGGTCACAGCACAGGTGGGAGGCTGAGCCCAGCCCTGAGTCCTGTCTGCACACCCAGGGCACTGCCCAACCCCCCACAGTAACAGGGACGTGAGTAACAGTCTTCCAGGTGGCATGTCCTCTCCCTGAGCCCTGACCTGATGCGGGGGCGAGGTGGTTTGGGTCTGCTTGACCCCGAGAGAGCGGGGCTCACACCTGCAAAGCACTCAGCCCGAGCTGTCAGGGCCAGATGCCCTCCGGCTGACCCCAGGAGCCGTCTCCAAGCTTTGTGCCCAAGGACACAGCGAGGGAGGTCCTGCCCCAGCTGTTCCCAGAGCCAGGAGGTCGGGTCAGGGTGGAAGAGACGTGTGGGGCAGTGGGACGCCTCAGATAAGTCTGGGCTTGGTCCCATTCCAGCTACGAGGCCTGGGAGAGATTCTGCACCTGCTCTGGGCCTCGCCATCCTCCTCTATAAGATGGGAGGGCGATATACGTGTCCCTCTGGTGGCCAGGACGACTGTCGGAGGCACAGGACGCCCGTGTGGGATGGGTTCTCCCTCTAACTAGCAGGCCCAGCCCCTGGGGGCCATGCTGCCCCTCCCCCCCCACCCCCGCAACCAATCCCAGCAGCAACAAGGGCTGGTTCTCCTCAAGACCACAGGAGGGTCAGAGAAGGGGGCTGGCTAAGGTATCCCTCCTCCGGGGGGAGTGGACAGGAAAGCCGGACCCGGGGCTGCGTGAGGCGCAGGGAAAGAAGCCGCAGCAGGGCAGGGCAAGCCCTCAGGAGGCCGTCAGACGGGGCGGACGCAGGGTCTCCTGGTGGGCGCGGTGCAAGGGCACGCCTGCCTCCCGGGCACTCCGACTCCCACGGCCTCTGCGAGGGGCTCATCCCGGTTTCCAAATGGGGAACTGGGACCTTGCGAGCCGAGCCAGGCGCCACGTATAGGTCCTGCCTGAGCCACCTTCGCCGGCTTCCTTTCCCCACAGCCCTGGGGCTGCCTGGACTCAGGACATCCTTGTCCCCTGCTCTCCGCCTTTGCACACGGTCCACTCCCTACCTGTGTGCCTTGCCTCCCTTCTCTGTGCTTTGTAACCCTACCTGCCCTCCCAGGCGGGCAGCAGATCCCCAGCCTCCGTGCTCTGGAGGTTCCCGAGCCCTCCGGCCATGCAGGTGTCTTGGGCCAGGGCCACCCTGAAAACATCTGTTCTCAAGCTCTTGCTCACAGGGGCCTCGAAGCAGGGTGTGGGGGTCCCCAGGCAGGCCAGGGACTGTCCCTAACTCACCTCCATCTAGAACCTGCCACACACACATGCACACGGAGGACTTGGTACCTGGTGGGGGCCCCATACGTGCCCCTGGTTGGCGGGAATATTGGCTGATATTGAACAAAATGGGCAAAAGCCCCCCAGTAGAGGGAAGGAAGTTCAGAGTGAGCCCAGCAGGTCAGAGAGCAGGGCAGTTACTCCGGGGGACAGCCGAAACTCCTCCACCATCGTGAGATAGGAAAATGGTTACCAGGTTCAAAAATGAACAATAACCACTGGTCTGCTGGGGCCTGATCGGGAACCTTGGGGGCCTGACAGCCTGGGGGAGAGCAGACATATGCCCTAAACCTCTCCCTCCACCTGGAGGCCTGGAGGTGGCCCAGAGGCCTCATCTGCAATGACTGTCCTTCCACCTGCCTTCCAAGACCCGCTGTGCTCTCCCAGGTGCACAGCACAATCTCTTGGTTCTTCTGGAGCCCTTCTTGTAACGTCAGGGTCAGGGGGGATAACCGACCTCCCCGTTCAACGCGACTTCCCTCCCAGGGTTACTGGAGGATAAAACATGCCCTGTATGTGGAGTTCACAGCTGGGCCTGGCATGTGATGAACCCCCAGGAGAAGTCTGCTCTAACTGGGAATCGAGAAAACACAAATGAAGAACTAGGGGAGGACAATCTCCTGGCCAGAGTGGACCACAAGTGAAAGAGGGTGGCAGCACCGGAGCCAGACTGTTAATTTACCAAGGGAGCTGGAGGCATGGCTGGGGCCAGCAGGAGGAAGTGCAAAGCTCTGCTGCCCTAGTGTGAGAGTCCCCCGTTTCCCTCCCTGGCCTGGCCCTGTCGCTGATTCGCTCTGTGATTCCGGACCAGGTGCTTCTCCGTCTGGGTCTTAGTTTTATAAAATGGGGGTGATCCTCTCTCGGTAAGCATAAGGGGCTAGCAACCTTTAAGCAGAAAGAGTGGGGTCCGTTTCTACAATACTGTACACGGGCGAGGCGGAGCCCAGAGTCTGGAGAGGGAGTCTGGGCTAGGTTTCGGGGCAGCTGGAGAGGCAGTCTCCCCGGTGGCCGTGTATCTCTCCGGGGCCCTTCCACAGAGCAGTGGAGTGGGTGCTGTTCTTGTGCAGGAGGGGAAAAGAGATCAAGATTTAACTTACAGCAGGGAAGATGCAAGTTAGACTCTATGTAGAGCTTTACTGTTCAAAAGCTTGAGAAAACCTTCACAACGTCCTCTCCGCGCCCTTACGCAGCGCATCCTTCCTGAAGGCAGGGGGCCTGTCGCTCATCTTTTTACGCAGCTTTGGAATGAATGAAGGCGTGTACACATGCATGAACGACAGGAGCTTGGGCTCTGCACGGCGGCCGGCGGGGGTCACCCGATCAAGGACACCAGGGCCGAGACGCAGCCCGGCTGGCACCTTAAACACAGCGTTCCCTGGCTCTGAGCCTCCCTTGTTCCATCTGGTAGGTGGGGACAAAAACGTCTCCTCGACTCGCATGGACGGGAGTCACGGGAGATCTGAAAGTGTTTTGAGGATCACACCCGGAGTGTTGGTGGGATGTACTCCCAGGAGGAGCGTCCCTGAGAAAGACGGTAAAGGTGATAGAAGAGAAATGGCTCTTGGAGGAGGGCGTCGGGGACAGAGGTCCACGCCGCAGCGGGACTGCCCCCAACACTTCACAGGCAGCGAGAGGGCCGTCTACATCGGGTCCACACCTGCCTCTCCAGACTCCCTTCCCCAACTCTGAGAAGAGGGCAGAAGAGGGGAGGGGAAGGAACCCCGTGTCCACACCGTGGATGCTGGACTGTGACCAGCACTTGTTTATCTGGCTTCTCGCTTGGAGCTGGAGCTCCAGGAGCCGAAGTCACACGTGTGTATGAAATAGCCAGAGCCGGGACAAGTCTACATGATCACGTTCAGAGAATCTGTGACATTCCCTTGTTCCTAAAATGGGGAAAATGAAATCAGGAACCTGCGACGTTTCTTTCGGTTTGGGGACTCTTTGAAAACATTTGGGAACTGCACTCTCATCCCCCAAATTTTAAAATCAAATCATGGGCACTACAAGTCAATGTAGGATCCTCGGGCACCCCCCACATCCTATAGACAGGTCGCCCCCCCGCTTGCCGATCAACACAGAGGGGCTCTTCCTTTGCAGGCCGGCCGAAGCCAGCACCCAGCCCTCCCCTCCGGGGTGTCTGAGCTTGCTGGAGTGTGCGGATCAGGGCCACTGACAACCGTCAGGAAGAAAGTAGAAATTTTCAAAGATAAACACAAAGAAAACTCAGTGAAATAAACTGTGTTCAACCTGGCCCCTGGCCTTTGAAGTCATTTCTTGCACCCTGCTGTGCAGAAACAATGAGGTGATTTTTATCCTTGAACTTGGGAATGACAGGATGAGGAGAGGCCCCTGGCGCTGGCTGGCTAGTGTAGCCTGCCTGGGACGGGACTCGGGACGGCTGGCTGCGACTCCATCGACACAGCAGCGGCACGTATGGACGCCTGTCTGGGAACTCCTTGCAGTGCAGCCCACGCCCTCTGGCCTCTGCCTGCACAGAGCCACCTTCCCCCGGTGACTCAGGGTAATGACTGTGCAACAATTATTGGCTTGAACCGTGCTGGGGATGCCCTTGGAGGCTTTCCCAGGGCCCCCTGCTCCTAGGGCCGCTGCTTCCTGTCTGTCTGGCGGGACACTGCCTGGCCACCTGTCCCTCCTGCGGTCAGTGCCCCCCGTCCCTCCTGCGGTCAGTGCCCCCCGACTCACAGCTCCAAAACTGCCCCTAGTAAAAGCTATGTGCAAAATCAAAGTCAGCCGTCTCAGTCAGGTCTCGTCTGTGTGTTTCCAGACTGTGGAGACCTCGAATGGAGGGCCAAGTCTTGGCAGACCTCGTGGCCCTCACCAGGGTTTGGGGAAGGCAGAGTTTCTGGGTCCACGTAAACAACAGGTCCCTGAACTACAGGTCCAGAGACCACCGATAAGGGCTCCCATCCTTATTTCGGGTCTAACCCATCATCACGTTGAATGCCGGCTACCTCTGGAATGTCCACTCCTCTCCATCTCCTTGGGTGTGACTGTCTCTTATGCCTTCTAACTGGTGTCCCTGCATTCCCACCTCTGGGTCTTCCCATGGGAGATTTCCTTGTCTGAGACGCCCCACCCAGCCTCCACTATGGGTAGAACCAGCTCCTTGTCCAGGATGTCCGTTCCTCTGCAGGCTGCCCGTGGTCACCTGCTCCGGTCTTGGCCCCTTGCTACCTCTCCTCCCAGCCGATGGATGGCTCCCCTCTCCGCCTCAGTATCCTCACCAGAAGAAACAGCACCGACCCTATCGGGTCATGGAAATTAAGCGAGGTTATCCTCAGCCTCAGGCCGGCTGCTAGGCTGCTAAGGAAGTGTCCCTAGTGGCTGGCCCGGGCCCCCTTCCATCACCACTCCTCAAGCCCCAGATGGGCACGCCTCCCTGTCTCGTTAGCCGTGGATGCCCACGGCCTGGCCCACAGCAGGCACACAGCGTTTACACAGCCTTTGCTGAAACGATGGCTCTGAGCGGCTCAGGCCAACGGGGTTTATCACAGGCAGACACCCCTTTTGATCCACACTGGCTCCCAGTGCCCCCCACCCCAGCATCTCTGCGTGAGCTCAGCGGCAGAAGGGGTGCAGGGCCTGAGGGTCCTCACCTTTCTCAGAACGCAGCTAGCCGCCCCACCAGGAGCCCATCCCCCAGACACCTCCACAAAGGCCAGGCTCTGCCCTAGGGAGGCTGCAGCGGCAGGCCTGGATCCCGGGGGACAGAGCAAAGAAACAAGGCGGGGGCCTCAGGCAGCTGCTGTGGGGGGGTGGGGGAGAGAAAGGAGACTTTTCTCTGGTCAAGACTGAGCAGCCTGGGGTGCCCCCTGCTTCAGCAGAAGGCCCTTCTCAGCCCCTCCCTCTTGGGGCAAACTTGGTTCTAACTCTGAGCCAAATCCCTCACTGGTGACTTCTGCCCTCCAAGGACCCCTCTGACTTCTGGATCTGGTCCCCAGGAGAATGGTGGGGGTAGCAGACCCCGGATACAGGGGTCCCCAACCACGTGGCCAGCTGCCTCCCTCTTCCACTAGCACCAGGCAGGGCGCCCGCTGGGGGCTGGACCTGCCCAGAAACAAGTCCGGACCCACCAGCATCCCCCTGCTGCCCGGAGTTGGCGGGGAGGGCTAGGCGTTCCCGGGCGGGGACACGGAGTCCCGGGAACTCCGTGCTCCCAGGGCAGGTGAGGCAGTCGCTGGCGGGTCCAGCCCCAAAAGGGCGCGGCTGTCGCCAGACGGTGGCAGCGCGGTGGGGCCCCGAGGCTGCCACCCTCCCGCGGCTCCCCCAACCCCCAGCCCGCTGCCCCCCGGCACCCACGGAAGGGGGCGTCCCACCCGGGGCCCAGCCTGGCGCTCGCTCGGGCTCGGGCTCTGGCCCCAGGGTGCGGACACGCCGCGTCCGCGGGTGGGCGCCCCCCGCGCGCTCCGAGCCCCGAGAGCCCCGGGCCTCCCCGCGAGCGCGCGCGGCGCAGGTGAGCGGCCTCCCTCCGGGCGCGGCGCCCGCACTCACCGTGCCCTCGGACGGCAGGTAGCCGATGTCCTCGATGGCGCAGATGTTGATGATGTGGACGCTGCGGTCCTCCGCCGGGAGCGTCGAGTACTTCTCGTTGACCCTCATCGCGGCCGCCTGGGCGCCGGGCAGGCGGGGCGGCGCGCCCTCCGCATCCACGGCCGCGGCGGCCTCTGCGGGCGGACGGGGCAGCGTTGGCGCGCTCGCTGGGGGCCGGGCCTCCCGCCCCGCCCGCCCGCCCGCCCGCCCGGCCCTGCGCCCCGCGCGCTGCGGCCGCCCCCCTGCGGCCCGGGGCGGCCCCGCGCTGCTGCGTGCTGGGGCAGGGGCGGCGGCCGCGCGCTCAGACTTTCCGAGGAAATTTAAACACAGGAAGAAAGCGCCGCATGCCCGCCGCCCCTCCGAGCTGTGTATTTATCCGGGGAAGGGCCCCCTTGGAGTTTTGGGGGTGGCCAAGGTTTCCTACCAGGGGCGGAACTTCCCACCTCTAAGAAAAGTCTCCAAACGTCTGTCAGGCCACCTTGCAGGGGAGAGAGGCTTCGGAGGTCGTCGTGGGAATGCCCTCCCTGCCCCTTCCTCCTCCTCCTCCTCACCCTGGGGGACTTCTGCTGCCCTTCAGACCTGACCTCCTCCAGGGAGCCTCCCCTGCTTGCCAGGGCCCACCCTCCCCGGCTCTGCTCCCTCTGCAGCTGTCTGAGTCCCGGGTATGGAAGGCTTCCTCTTCTGTGACCGGGAAGGGGCAGCCCCTCACAGGGGAGCCTGCGCCTCACTTCGCAGGGGGGCGCGAGGAAGGGGCCTGGGGTTCAGGCGGAGCTGCCTGCACTCCTTGTGCGAGCCTCTACTGCCTCCCTGAGGGAGGGACGGTGACTTGAATCGCTTTCACCCCAGATGACCATGGACCTGGCACGTGGTAGGTGCTCCTCTGGACGGGTTTTTAAACCATCCCTAATGGAGGATGACATGGGTCTCCAGGAGTAGCCATGCCCAGGTGTAGCTCCCAGGGTCCACCCTGGCCACCCTGCCCGGTGGGAATCAAGCTCCTTTTCCTCTGCCTCCCTATATCTTGTTAGTTCTTTGGGGTGTGCCCTGAAAGCCGCCTTCTCCAGGCAGTCATCCTGGATTGCCTCTCACCCAAGAAGCCCAAGGACCAGTCTGTACCTTGGCCACAGACCTCCCTTTACTCCACCTCGTTTTACACTATGTTCATATACTTGATGCCCAATGGTTGCTTGTCAAAGGGCCACTGAGGAGCATTCCAGGCCTGCGGAAGGGATCATAAAGCTGCCTTGCAAGGCGTTTTGGGCATGCCTTGGGTCCAAGGGTGGATTCTGGAATCAGGATGCGGTTGGGGGAGGTGGGGTGGGGTCTCGCTCCAGCTCTGACACCTTCCAGCCCCGTGACCTGGGTCAGGTGTCCTTGGCCTCACAGAGCCAGCATGTCCTCCCAGGAGCGTCTGGTGTGCGTGAAGCTGGGGCTCAGCACGGTGGGGGTGGGGGGGGTGGGCAGTGGGGGCTGCCGTTACTACTGCCATCTCGTCATTCTCATGACCTCCCCTTCTCCCTCCCCTCCGTGTAGGCTCAAGTTTGTGACCCTCTTGACCCTTGTGTAGCAAGATCTGTCTGTCCTGGGGCGCGCCTTGCCTGTGGGCGCCGAGCAGCCCTCCAGGACCTTTGGTTTGCATCTTGGACGGTGAGCACAGGTTTGGAGAAAGTGTGCCAGACTGGACCTGTCCTCACCACAAACAGCCCTCCACGGCTCTGAGAACAGTTCGAGCTGAGAAGAATTCGAGCTTTCCAGCCTGGGAAGAAGCTCGCTCTCTCTCTCTCTCTTTCACACACACAGACACGCACACGCACACGCACACGCACGCACACACGCAGAATTATGTAACTTCATTCTCTTACCCTTGTTGGTAAATAACCAAGATTGTGTAACCGTAAAGCACTGACTTTATTTTCAAGTGACGAAAGATCTTGCAGAGTCTACCAGGTACGACTGTGAAAGGGGAGCAGAACCATGATTCCTCCATTCCAGGTGCCCTGACACTCCCCAATGCCTGGACCGTGGACGGAGAGGGCTCGGGGGCGGGGTGCCCGAGCCCCTCTGGGAGCTGCTGCAGAGAGGGGGACAATCTCTCAGGCAGGGCGGTGCCCGCCTCCCTGCTCTGGCTTTCCCCAAGAAGCCGGGTTGTACCCACTTCTGTGATGTAGGACTTAACCGGTCCGCACACCTGCTTGCTCATAAAGCATCAGTTTCCTGCTACATATGAGTACATCTCCTTGCGCTGCCCCTCTCCCTGCATTGTGTATCCTCCTGCCGCCCCCCAGGCTCCCAGTGAACAGCATGGAAATGCTTTTGGCGGGCGGAGGGGACCAGTAGGGACTGATCCTGTCCCCAGGGCCACAGTGGCCTGGGCTGGGACAGCATGGGTCTTGGGATTTCAGGGACCAAAAAGTAAGAACAACATTTCCCCAAACCAGGGAGGGAAGTGGGGTTCTACTCCGCTGAGCTCTCCCCCAGGTTGAGACACTGCAGCCTCCCTGCCTGGCGCTGAGCTGGTTTCCTGCCTCACACCGTCTCCTGTGGGCCAGCCCGCCGGGACCGTGTCTCCACTCCGAGTCGCTAATTGCTTCTGAACTGGCCCTCTAGAAATACTCTCCCATCAGCTTTGCTCTCTCTTTTGGAGTCGGTAATTCTCATCATTAAAAATCCAAAGGGACAGAGCTCACGGGCAGGATTAATTCCCCGCTCATGAATGAGTAAAACCCAGCCTCATTAGTCTAAATGGGGCATTTTATTATGGGAAGTTCTGGGCTTCTCAGCTCACCCTACTTGCCACCGTGCCGCCCTCTCGTGCTGTTGTGACGTCAGCCGCCATCATGCTCTCGTGTCTCTGCTGACGTTGTAATAATCTCCAGGAGTACGAGCACCGGGGTGACAAGGGACACCAGAGGGGACTGAGCCGCAAGACAGTCTCCCTTGTAAGAGGCTTGGAGGACCCTAGCAGACAACATCAGTTTCCCCTCCTTGACCCTGCCCACAAGAAGGAACGTCTTGCTCTGTGCCCTGCCCAGCTGCGTGGGCCAGAGCACTCCCCAGGCTTCTCAGCCTTAGGGAAAAGGTGAACAAACCAAGCTTTAGAGAGCAAGGTGGGGTGAGCCCCGGGTCAGGGATTATTCGAGTCACGGCCTTGAATAATGCCCTGCGGCTGGGCTTCTCCGCAGTGCTGCTGCCGTCTGGGGCTGGATCTCTGTCTGTCCTGGGGGCCAGGCCGTGCCCTGTAGGATGGTCAGCGGCTTCCCTGGGCTCTACCCACTCGAAGCCAGTGGCATCTCCTCCCAGTGTGACAGCTACAAACATCTCCAGACACCATCAGACGTCCCCAAGGGCAAGATGGCCTCCAGGGGAAAGCCACTGTTCTCGGCTTACCGTCGGCCCCTGCCTACACCGTCCAGGAAGAGCGGGGAGGCCCGGGAGGCTGGGAGGCTGATCTTATCTCGAGTCCTCAGATGGGAGCGCAGAGGCCGGGAGAGGTGATGTGCTTGGCTTCAGGCATAGCCAAGAGGCAGATCTGGCTTTCCATCCGGGTCTCCAGACCGTCCAAAACAGGCTCGTTCCATGAATTCAACACACACATGCGTGCACGCACGCACACACAGAGGGATACGAGGTAGGACGTTCGGTCTTTACAAAGTGCGTAGATGGCCCTGGCTACTCTGGCCCTGGGTGGAGGGGTGAGCTGTGCTGTCCCCAGGCTCTGGCCATCCCCGCCACAGGCCAGCTGTCTCCCCAGCACAGGTCTGTGCGCTCAGAGGTGCTCAGTGCACGCTGTTGACTCACGCGGGCAGCCGGACGGGGGAGACCGCACGGAAGGAGTGATGCACTCATGACTCAGGCCTGTTCTGAGCTCAACGGCCCGTCCGGCTCCCGCGCTCCCTCTGCACCCCCGTGGGGGTCCACTGGGCATCCTGCGTGGGGGAGACACGAAGCCAAACAGGTCCATGAGCTCATGTGCTAAAAGCGCTTTGGGGTGTAACTTCCCCGGGGGGAAGACACGCCTGGGGGAGGGGGGTCCTAACCAAGACGGGACTCCTGTCACTTCCTTCCCTCGCATGACGTCAGAACCCTGAGCAGCAGGCAGGGAGACTCCGTGGGCACGGAAACCACCAGCCCAAAGTTCTGGAGCGCTGCCAAAGCATGAAGTTCTGTCTGGGGACTTTCTCCCCCCCCAGCCCCCTCCAACGGAATCCCTGGACATTATTTCCTTCTCAGCTTTTTCAGATGCCTCATGTGTTTTGCTAACCCAGGCTTGCCTTCTGAGAATTCCTAAGAACCCGAAAAGCAACCCCCGCAGGATTAGAAGCTGGCCACCCCGGCCAGCCGCCACCTCCTCCCGGAAGCCTCTCTGGTCCAGCTCTGCTCCGCTGGCCCCGCTCCCGGCTCCGTCCCGGCACTCAGGCTCATTTCTGCTCTACGGTCCCATCTTCTGCTTTATTTCTACCCTCCACCCCCTTCCGGTGCTTGGCACACCACAGATTTCCCTGTTTGTGTTTATTTATTTAACAAGCAATGGTACGACGCTTGCTATAAACCAGCGTCGTGCTAAGCTCTGTACAAATATTGACTCGAGTTCTGGTGATTACAACGCTCTGCAAAGCAGCCTCGCGCGGATGTCCCTCCATCCCAGCTCCCGCCTGCGCAAGTGTGTGGGGAGGTGGTCCAGCCCGAGTCCCAAACCGCTCCCCCCTCCCCAGCGCCCCTTTGGGCGTCACGGCATTAATCCCCCGACAGATGCCCGGACATCGGAAACCCTGCCCGCTCTGGGGGCTTGAAACGGAGACGGTCCCCCCCGACCCCGCCGCAGGCGGAGGCCAAGCCAGCCGCCAGACCACCCTGCCCAGCTGTGTGGAAACTCCACGTCATGGCTCCAGCTTCTCAAAAGGAAAGTCTCAAAACCTCCTTTTGCTGCTTTAACTCTTCTTCCCGGGGCTGGAGAGGAGAGGAGAGCTCCCGCCGCCCTGGCTCCAAGCAGCAGGGATTCCCTTCCCCCAGAGCTCCAGCAAGAACAAAGGACGCCCATCTCCCTGCAGTGAACTCGAGGGCTGTCCCCCCCCGGACAGACAAGGACGGGGTGCTCGGGGTGAAGGTGGCAAGGCCTCCAGGCTGGGGGGGCGGG